ATAATATAATATTCAATATGGGTAAAACCCAAATGACCCATAACCCATTAGTTCTCTTCAATTAGACATGCCATCTAGGAGTGAGAAATAACTCTAATTAAAATTGTTACTTATATATACACATACACACACACACACTAGGTAGATATGCAACTGGAATTTCTAGGTGGCTTAGACATTTGGCTTATTCATCTAACCAACATTAGCAAGACATGTTGCTTTTCTATAATGATCATGATCTATCGTGGAATAACAATACTATAATCCGATTTATTATGTTGTCAATAGGGATTTTTTTTTTTTTTTGAGTGTAAGTGGAGCATAGTTATTAAACCCAGCCCGGAAAAGAGACCGGCGAAGGAGGTGGGTCAACGGGTTATTGGTTCAACCAGTGGGTGAGTGGTTGAATCAATGGGTTACTAAATATATTTAAATATTATATCTTATAATTTTTTATATAGGATATATGATATAAATTTTAATAATTAATGTCATAACAAATGCTCATTCAATTTAATTTGCTATAGAATACTTAATTCATATAAGAATCAGCAAAACATAAATTTAATTAGTGATCCACCAAATTTCAAATGTAAAATTTTATCTATGTTTAGTGTAATTCTCTAGGTTACTTACGAATTTTAAGTGCAAAAAATTATTAAAAACAATATTGTCTTTAAAATAAATTATGTAATATTTTATTTTTGAAATCTATTTTATAATTTATAGAATTTGGGGGGTCATAAGTTTGTATTAAAAGATATCAAATAAATTTTTTTTGGAGAAATAAAAAAAGAATAAAGATAAAATTGATAAAACGTTCATATAGCATAAGAATGGCAATTAACCAATTAACTAATATACTAATATGTGGCAAAATGGCCTGGTGGTGAGCTTGGCATGTACTTTGACCTAAGGTCATAGGTTCGAATCTAGCAAAAAACTTAGTCAAATTTTTTCCTCAAAACCGGCCGGGTTTCCAGTTTAATCCGATTCAACCACTAGGTTGTTGACCAGTCAACCGTTCCAGTGCTTAACCGATCTAATTAGAGACCCAGCTCGGTCCGGGTCGGGTTTTATAACTATGAAGTGGAGAGACTCGAACTTGGGACTTGTCACTTACCTTCCTTTTTCGTATCATTCAATCCATCCCTCCTCCTATAGGAAGTTAGCACCTCATTATGAAGTTTGAGTATGCCCGTCAATTTTGATGCTTACTCAAGGTTAACAACGTTTTACCATAAAATTGTGGATTTTTCTACTTAGAATTAGTGTTTAGTGGACACACATTAACATAGCTAATTTGCGTGTAATTTTAAATATATATATATATATCACATACTTACATTTTTTTTGACTCGGATTCAGATGCTCTCCCATATTTTCAATTTTTTCCAACAAATGGGCCGTATGTATGCTAGGGGCTCTATTGCAAAATAGGGGTTGCATGTAGTACACACGGCCCCCAGTTTCCAAAATAAAAAAAAATCTACATTTCTAAAAAATTTCAAAATTAATAAAATAAAAGATGTTTGAGTGCCTCATTTTTTTTTCAAATGTAAATAACATATCATATATCACCCATAACAAATTTACATAGTTTGCTTACAAGTTTGGAGCAACAACTCCTAAATCTTCTCTAGCCAATCTAGTTAATCAGAGAGGGAAGGATGCATTCTAGTAAACATCCTTTACTAGGTTCAAGACATATCTTGCCAAGCTATGATTGACAACATTACCTTCCCTTCTAATGAAAGAAAAGCAACACTTGCTGAATTTTTGTTTTAACAGCTTGATATCTTCAACCAACATTCCAATCTTAGCATCCCTTGTGTCTTCTTCCAAAATCTTGTTTACTGCTATTTTACAGTCAGATTGTACTTCCACATTCCTCCATCCTTCCTACATAGCTACAGTTAAGGCATTCTTGATAGCACAGGACTCCTCCACCAGAGGATCACTGCAGCTTTTCTTAATTCCAGCCCAAGCTCCAATGATATCACCATTTTCCTTTCTAGCTACTATTCCCCAGCTGGCTTTTCCTTTCTATATATCGGTTGTTGCATCCGTGTTAAGCATCACCACTCCCTCTGTTGATGGTTTCCATCTGTGTAGATTTGATGGATGTATTTCTTCTTCAGCCTCTTCAATTTTCTGGTTGGCCAGCTCATATTCTTGCCATTCTTGCACTGCTTTGCTAACTACTATCCATGGACATTTTCTCTCTCTATTAAATTGAGCTTGATTCCTTGCTTTCCAAAACTGCCACATAATATTTATGGTTAGCACAATGTGCTATCTTGCATCCTTTCTTTGCTAAGCTTCCATCAGGCTATTCCACCATAACCAAAAATTATGTCTAAAGTTCTCAATTCCATCCCATCGAACTAGTGCAGCTTTCCATATCATTTCTGCTTGTTGAAAGAAGAATAACTTATGCTCCAGTGTTTTAGTTCCCTCTCCACATCAGAAGCACTTTTTCTTCCCTATTCCTCATTCTATTCTTTATGACTTCATTTACTGGCAATATCCTGTGCAGACATTTCCATATAAAATGTTTTAGCTTCTGCTTCATATTTAGACTCCAAATGGATCTCCATACCTTTGTATTCTGCTCATTTCTGCTATCACTCTCTACCTGTCTCTTGTTCATTACATGCCCATTGTTTCTCTCTTTTTGTGGCTTCTTTGCCAATGTATATCCTGTAGTGTACTCCCTAGATGATGCAAAAGGCCACACCAATCTATCCTTACTGTTGCAAATGCTAATAGGGATGTGTATGATACTTTTGCAATCCTCCTCATTAAAAATGGACCTAATGAGCTCCATATTCCACTCCCCATTCTGAATAAGATCACTTACTCTTTGTATGGGACAATTAGGGGGCTTAACTGTAGTAACCATTCCCTTTCCTCTATCAGTGATCCACCTATCTTTCCATACATCAATTGTACGCCCATCCCCAACTCTTTTCCTTGCCCCCTTTCTAGTAACTCTTTTGCACTGAGCACACTCTTCCATATCCAGGAATCACTCTCATTAATTTTCATTTTCCAGATTGACTCCCCCCTAACGTACCTTCCCTTTAGTGTCCTACTCATCATTAGGCTTGGCCTAGTTAAAATCCTCCACAACTGCCGTGCTAGCATTGCAGTATTAAACTCCATTAAATCTCTTAAGCCAAATCCCCCTTTTCCTTTGACATCTGTAAGTCTCTCCTAGCCTAACCAGTAAATATTCTTTCTTTTTCCTTCTTGCCCTACTAAAACTTAGCCATTTCCTTACATATATCAACATATATTCCATTTGGTATCTAACACATCCCATTGCATATGTAGGCATTGCCAATATGACAGATTTTAGCATTACTTCTTTTCCAGCTAGACTTAATAGTTTCTCCTTCCACCTCTTCAACCTATTCATCACTTTCTCCTTTATATAGCTAAACACCTGCTTTTTTGACCTTTCTATTACTACTGGTAAACCCAAGTTTCTGCTCTATTGGACTTGCTGCATTCCTTCTAGCACTTCCATCACCTCTCCTTTTTTATCCTCTCTCATATTTTTCCAAAAAACACAGATGATTTATCAGCATTGATCACTTGGCCAGATGCTCTTTCATAGGTCTTCAAAATCTGCATCACCTGTAATGCTTCCTCCCTTGCTGCTTTGTAGAAAACTAGGAGGAGAACACCGCGACGATGCGCGGTGTAATTTTCAGGCTTGCCCAGAAACATCCTGTTATTCAAATTAAAATATTAATTATAAAAAGTAAAATCTTTGCAACGTTTTAATAAACCATCAAAAAGTCAGAAAATTTGATTTATTGATGTCCTTGATGTCCTTCAAGGATCATCATCATTACAAAGAACTAAAAAATAGCTATATTACCGGTGGGAATAATGTAAATTACCTAGCAACAAGCACTCCTACCAAACCTGTGTGAATTCAATTTTCGTAAATATCTCCATTTTTTGTTTAAACAATTTTGCTAGATGGGATTCCAGTAGCTGGCTCGTGGCCCTTTGAGTATTTGACCGGTTCATTCTGTCGTCTCTCAAACGATTGCTGCGAGAAGTGGTGGTGCTCCCGTTACTGTCTGTACGACGATGTTTACGGCTAAGTTCTGGAGGTAAAATCTTCTTTACTTCGCCTCTTATGGCTTCGAACTAAAAGCAAGATTAATGAAGAAAGTAAGTTCCTTGATTATCAAAATGTCAACGAAAGAATGAGATGAAGAAAGTTAATAACTTTCTCAAACTTGAACTTTTGTGCTAAACACACACTCACGCACACGCACTCTGACAGCTCCAACATCTTATATTCTCAATTCTCTCTCATACAAAATATGCACATTGCAAGAGGTCAGAAATTGATCACAGCTTAAGAAAACATTTATATGTTAAGAATCAGAGTTTACAACAGAAAGATCATGTTAGAAAATGAAAGAAATTACCTCTTGAAGCAGCAGATCAACAAACATATGAACCTCTCTTGGCTCCTTGTGCTATCATAAAAGGAGAAGCTCAAAACATTAGCTAAACTTATGAAGGGAATAGATTTTGAACTATTCGCTGCAAAAATTTTACAGAATTAACTAACCTTAAACCCAGTTTGGTGTTGTAAACCTCGTCCGCAACAGAACTGATATCTTTTGAGCTCTTAACCTTACATACTGAAAGAAAAAAATAAAGTACTCAATGGCTACTTTTTACATCAGATTCAAAAATTTATATTTACTTCAAGCAAGGATTCCACTTCCATCTTCCATTCTCTTAGGCAAGATATGGCCTCAAAGGATCTGATTGTGTCCATAATCTAGTGAGCTAGGGTAATAGTCCTCCAAAATTCACTACACAAATGTGAAAAGTAGAGTTTTTGCATGTAGAAACTGAAGTTTTGAATGAGAACAAGAAATTTGGTTTCTTTGAAATAATAATATGAGATAGATTTTGAGTCTCGAATCTAGCGAGCTAGGCTAATAGCCCTCCAAATTTCACTACACAAATGTAACAATTTTGCACATAGAAAGTGAAAGTTTTTGAGCAAGAACAAGTAGTGGAAAAGATGATCCAAAAATCCATACATGGTCCAAGCACTTCTCCCCAGCTACCCAGAAGGTGCAACAAATCACTGCAGGGATGAAAGCAGGGCCATACTCATAACCCCGAGCACGACCAGAAGAAAAGGAAGAAGCTATTTCCTGACACCGTTAAAGATAGGATTTTTTAGAAAGTTTTCAGAATTTAATGGAGATTACATATTCTCTAGTAGAATGCAGAAACAAACACAATAAAAACACAGAACAGAAAGTGACCTCGGTAATTCTTGGGATAGCACTTCGCCCAATGAAAAGAGATAGTTGAGCGAACAGAAGAACAATCCCAGGAAGGACCTTTTCTCCTTGCACTCCCTGCGTCAAACTTAGATCTTGGCTACCTGACTTACTCTTGCCTGAAAGAAAAAGGAATCACTCATTGAGTTTTCTGAAGAATTCTTGAAATCCTTCTTGTACCTAGTGAATAGTTAAGTCTCTCAACTTCAATGATAGTTCAAGTTTTTCATCAAGAAGCTGACGGAAATCCTGAAATATGAAATCCATGGAAAAGACTGAGAACTAATCAAGAAGAACATAACAGGTAATCTTCCATTCAACGGAATCAGTATCATGGATTGCAGAATAAAGAACGAAGCCTCCTTTGCCACCCAAAAAAGAGAAACATGTCAAGAATTATGCAAATACGAACTTATGGGACCTGTTAAGCAACAACAATTGGTCACTGCCTACACAGTGTAGGACATCAATAGACTTCAAGATGTGGCTTTATAATATTGCAAGCATATTCATTACAATAAGCAATTCATTTAACACAAATCAACTAAGCATCAATACAAAATAAGTTTGTCTTCCTACATATGACAAAAGTTGTTCCTCGTGATGCACAAATCCCTAAACTTGTTAAACTTAATGAGTTTGAATCAATGTAATCTGGGTAGGAACACATTACCAGCATATGGCATTCATAAAATAGTGAATTGTATTTTATACAGAGAGAATCCACATTGTAGCTTTTCTATTTTCTCCTCATAATTGGCAATTGATGGCAGGATTTGTGGTTGTTCAAGCTAGCAGGTGAAGGTATATTTACTTAAAAAATGGAACAACAAAACCTACTCCTCACCCCTACCTACAACACACACACACAAGCACAAAGGGGGAAAACAAAAAGAAACAGAGTTTCACAATGAAGTATAGCAGCACAGGCATTCATGAAAACAACCTTGATCATTACCCGCCATCGTCGAAACAACCTAGTTATTGATGTCCTACAACACTCTGTAGGCAGTGACATCAAGAGACTTCAACCTTGTTACACAGTGTAGGGGCAAGCAGAAAATGTAGAAAATCAGAGCATAGGTATTCTAGAAGACAACCTTGTTCATTACCCCTCATCCCTACCCCTCCTATTCCTTTTGATCCCCATATTTTAAAATTTTATTGAGAGACTTTCAAAGGAAATATGACATGCAATTTCAGAAGTCCTGGCTTTACCGAAAGCCACAAGCTACCAGCTCTTATCAGCAAGACATTCATACAGCCTTGAATCTGCTATACAAATTTTTCATACATTATTCCCAAATTTTTAAGCCGTTTTTTAACTGGCTAGGTTGACATTGCCAACCAAAATAAAGTTCCAACAAAAGGCAAACTACAAATTACCTAGGAAAACAACTTAATTTACTCTCCTTGCCACTACTGAGTTGATAAACAAAAAGAAAAGTAAATTATCAATAAGGTTGACAAATAAACAAAAACTAAAAAAACAAAAACAAGACATATCTCTAGAAAAAGGGAACAAGTAAAGCTATAAGCCAAACAGCAAATGTACAAGCAATAACATGTCTGAGTTGAATTCTGCAAAAAAAGAAATTGAGCTTTAGGTTCTGGCAATGTATGATTCTCAAATAGAGAACTCAAAACAATTAAAAACGGAGCAAGTAAAACAAGTAAAAGAAAATAACTTTGGATCTAAAGGAAATAGGATGCCGTCACAAATTTTCACCCTTCACTTTTGTAAAGACCAATAACAGGATAAAGAGAGCAGAAAGTTACAGTAAGTTACAATGAAAAAAAATCTGTTCACAAAAAAAAGGGAAATTAAAACATATCGTCAAGGACCATTCATTTTTATTTAACTCTAAAAGTGCATTTACTTTTTAAACCCCTATAGGCACACACAAAAGCCTATTTCTACTTTTTCGGGTTAAAAGAAAACATTTAGACAAAAAATTCTGAAACATAGGAGACAAAAAATTGGGGGAATGAAGAAAAAAAGTGTAAAAGTAGGTGCATTCTAGTCCAGTGAAAGCAAAAAAATTTCTTATTCGTAAAAGGTTTATGGTCAAATGTATCACCATTTCCAATGTGATTTCTAACATCAAAACTTCAACTATATTACCCATTCACTTATCATATCTCAAGTGATAAGTCTTGCTTCAGAAAACTTCCTGTATCACCAAAAAATACACTACCTCGTTTTTCAAATCAAACAAAAGAACTGGAGTAATTTTCTACATGCATACAATTGATTGTTCAAAGCATATTTCCAAAGCCATTCCCTATTAATCCTTCGGCAAAATGTTGTGAAATATAAGATATTTCAATCCAAAAAAGTACAATAATAATGTTCTTGATTATTTAGAAAAGGGTATGAAAAAATGCAAACCTTTTTTGACTTGCTAAACCATCCAGAACATTATCATCCCCTCCTTCACTGCTCTCCATAAAAAAAAATCCCTAAATTACAGCAACAGCAAAAAACCCAAAACGAAAACAAAAAATTGTTTCACCAAAACATCATAAAGAGCACAATACATTATAGGGAAGTCAAATTATTCCTTCTTAAAGCAATACGAAAAAACAGAAAAAAAAACCTTAGAGATGAGAGTAAAAGCATATGAGAAAAAGAATTTGCTTGAATCTGGATTTTAAAGATAAGGAAAAGTCGTGGAAGACACTTACCTTGAATCTGTAGTCCATGTAAATATTCAACCTTTTCACCTACAGCACCATAGAAAGTACAATCGAGTATTAGGAAAAAAAAAACCCACAAAAATCACCGATAAAGATGACAATTTCTGAGAAGGAGATGAAGAAAAGTTTAAAAGGGAAAAATGATCTCCATATATATATATATATTGCTTTTATAATGGTGGATGATCCAGCGTACTCATGATTCAACTGATGAGAGGAAGAAAGAATGGGTAGATGGCGGTGTAGAAAAAGACTGGAGAGATGAAGAGAAACTAAGAGGAGGAAAAACATTTTGACATTTCTGGGAGAGAAAATCCCGAATCTTATTTTCTTCCCAAAGAAAGGAACAAAGAAAAGAAAAATGGAAGGGAAGAGAAGCTCTGGAGATACCCTTTAACTTGTAAGATAAGAAGAAGCCCAACGTGTGACCTTTGTTTTGTCTTGCACTGTTATTTAATGTTCAATTAAAGAAGAAAGAGAAGAAGTGAAAGACAAAGAAAGGAGAAAGGGAGAAAGAATCGGAGAAGAAAGGAAGAAAGACGGAGCAGAAGCAAGAGTATATGAGCGGCGCAAGTGAAGACCCTCAGGAACCCTACCTATTCATCAAGGCGTGAAATCTCAATTTTGTCCTCAATTCAATTCATCAGCTCAATCAACGGAGGACTACCATCAATCAGCCAATCACAGCACGCCACGTCAGCAATTGGGTTCAATTGGAGGGATTGGCATTCACACATTTACTATATATGTTAATTAGAGTATCATTTGCAAAAATCAAATAAGAGACAGTCGGGCATTCCTTTGCTATTTTGAATCCTTAAATTTTCTGACATTGCATAGCATGCTTAAGTAGGCTAGATAAACCTTCAGTGACTATCACAAACAGGTAAGGGGACAGTGGATCCCCTTGTCTAAGTCCCCTCTTAGGTCTTACATACCCCATTTTTCCCGATTAATATTAAAGGAATAGCTAACAAAGGACACACATTTCACTACCCATTGAACCCACATAGGACAAAATCCCATTCTTTGTATTATTTTTGCCAAAAAAATCCATTTAACTCTATCATAAGCTTTGAACATGTCCAACTTAAGAGCCATATGCACAACTTAAGAGCCTACTAGGAATGAAAGCTGATTGATTCAGACTAATACAGTGCTTAAGTAAAGGCTTGACTCTATTGACCAGGACTTTTGCAAAGATTTTGTAAACTACATTACACAAACTTATAGGCCTAAATTATGATATCAACACTGGGAACTCAATCTTTGGAATTAAGTAATAATAGTTTCATTTATAGACGTTAGAAGGTTACCAGAGTAGAAGAAGCTAGATATTGCAGCAATTAGAGAATGTTTAATAATATTCCAGAATCTTTGGAAGAAAATTGGTGGCATACCGTTAGGTACAGGTGCCTGTTAGAATGCAAAGAGCAAACTGCCTTTCTGATCTCCCATTTTGTCATAGGTCTAGTTAATCTCAAGTTCATCTGACTGGTAATAGTCTGAGGAATTCCTTCAAAGATTACATCAAATTGGCTTGGCTGGAGGATTTAAACAGATTGCCAAAATAGTTTGTTACTTTCTCCTCCACTTCAAACTCAACACTACACCAATTTCCATCCTACTTCTAGAGTGTAGAGATCTTATTTCTTCTTCTTCTAGCCTTAACCACTACATGAAAGTAGCTTGTACTTTTATCACCTTCCTGAAGCCACTTTACTCTAGCTTTCTATGCTTAGTACACTTCCTCCTTTTTGTAAGCATCAGCAAGTTGTCTCTGCAAGATACTGGTGTCCTATTGGGTCCCCTTACCTTCCTAGCATCTTGAATTTTCTGCTATAATTCCGCAATGTCCTTCTTAGCATTTCCTTTAAGCTTTTTATTCCATCTCATGAGTTCAAATCTGCATTCTTTGATTTTGTTCTGAAGTCTAAAAAATCTAGATCTCTCTTGCTTTTTCCCCTTTGCTTTTTTAATAACCTTCCCAACTTCCTTATATTCAAGCTATTTTCTATCAAAATAGAATCTCTTTTTCCAATTTCTTCTTTTTGGTTCAGTTTCTAACAACATCATGCAGTGATCTAATGCTTCAACATGGATGTAAGTGCACTTTGCCCTATCATAAGCCTCCTTCCATCCATTATCAATAAATATCCTGTCCAGCCATTCTTTTACCTCACCACATTTCTCCCATTTATTACACCAGGTCCATGGTTTCCCATCAAATCCCAAATCTGAAAATTGATTCCTTCTGATAAAGTTTCTAAACACTCTAAAACTAGACTCAGGCCTCTCATTACCTCCCCACTTCTCAGCATTTGATAGAATATCATTCATATCTCCTGCTAAAATCCAGTTACCCCCCCCCAAATACCTTTCCTTTGACTAATAACGTCCTGCTGTTTTCTCTGACCAGGTCATCTGAGCTGGCATATATGCCTATGAGCCACCACTTGAAATTTTTTCTTTGGTCATTTATCTGTAATTCAATAGTAAAATTAGTTTGTCCACCTTAATATCATTTCTCCACATAACAGCTAAGCCTCCTGCCTTCCCTCTTGGATCCATCACAAATAGTTTATCAAACCTAAGTTTCATCTTGACCTTGTTCATAACACATTTTTTATTTTTAGTTTCAGATAAAAAAAATAAATCTGAGAGTGGAGTTTAACTATCTCTTCTAATTGGAGAATTGTCAAAGGGCCCTCGACACTTTTACAATTCCACACCAGTACATTCATTGACAACTTGGGACCCCTTTTAGGTAGGACTCCACCACCTTCAGATTACTCTCATGTTCTTCCCAATAAACACTCCCTTTGATCCTCTTAGTTGACTATCCACTTCCATTCCCTCATTGAGACCATCCTCAACTACCCTTTTTCTTTTTCCTGTCTCCTTTGCCCCCACAATTATCGTATTACAATCTGCTAAAGGCTTCCTGTTCCCCACTTCTTTCACTAGTCTTTTCCATCCTCTATTCCCTTTGTATTTTCCTTTCTTATTCTCTTTCCCAATTCTACCCTCTCTACCCTCTTTAGCTTCCAATAGGCTTCCTGCTTTTTCCCTCGCACCTGCATTTCCATTATGTGATCATTAATTCTATCTATCCACATATTGTCCTCCTGCTCTACTTCCCCTATCTCTTCCTCAGCTCCCTTACTCACTGCCCTTTTGAGATTCCCTAGTGTCCTCCTCCCCTTTCTCCTAACAATCATTTTTGCCCATTACAACACAGTTTTCCTCTCTCATTTGCTCCTCCCTAATGATCTTACCACTATTTCCTTTAACTCTAGCCCCATCATCCTCATTATCCTCCCTGTTTCTACTCTCATTCTCTTCTCTTTCCCCCTTATTCTCTCTCTAGGTTATCATCGATATGTTTCTATCCCTATTTTCATTTTGTGTATTGGTTGCTCTTTCATTTGGATCGTCCTCATGCTGTCCAGATCTATCCTGCTTCTTAGCAGGACTCCTAGGATTGCTAGTCTTTAACCAAGTTCCAAATTGAGGTTCCCTTCCTATATGGGTTCCTTTCTCTTTACAGTTTCTCTCAGTATGCCCTATAACGCCATAGTTAAAGCAGAAATCAGGACACCTCATGCATAAATTCCACCCATCTAATTATACCATTCATTTTAACTATAGTTCCCCTCAGCATTGGTTGATTCAGGTCAATTTCAGCTAAGATTTTCAAATGTTTTCCCTCTTTACTCCCACTATTTGGTACAATAACTTTTTTCATAGACAGAAATACACTTGCAATTTTTCTTCCCGCATCTTTTGTGATCCAACGTAAAGGTAGGTTCTAGATCTGTACCCATATCCAAGTTTTGTTGAAAGCATTTTGATCTATTTCCAGCCCATCGCTTTGTGGAAGTATTACTAACGGCGAATTATCATAAACCCACGGTCTACTGTTTAACACTCTATTTTTATCCTACATAATAGCAAACACAAATTGGAACATATTTACCCCAATTTCCATCACCTTTAAGTTGTTCGCAAATACCCCCATATTACTTATAAAGCTTCACGTACCTGCAATGTTCACCATTTTTTCTCCTACAACTTTTCCAATAATTCTTCTCTTACACTTTTCTAGACAATGAGAGACATCTTCTCTTTCCATTTGGATCCCTGCAACTTCCTTTTCTGACAAAGCAAACTTCCTCATAATTTCCTCTAGCTCATCCACCATTTGATGTAATCCTTGTCAGTTTCCTGTATATCTTACCTGCTGGATAGCCCCTGTTAACCAATGTTTTTTAGAATCGGACTGGACCGATCGGTTCGACCGCGAACCGTCCACGTCATCGGTCCGGTCCAGTATCAAACCTGAAAGCTAGTGGAAAACCGCTGGAAACCGGATGAACTGTTAAAACCCGTGTGAACCGTAAACCGGCGGTTCTCAAATTTTGAAACAATAACCTCAAATTCAAAACAATAACAAAATGGAGGCCCCTAGGATTCGAACTCTGGTCTTCATGGCCAAAATAATGGTATGCTTACCACTAAACCATAGCCGAAGAACAAGCTCTTGTTGTGTAGAATTTTACTTAACTTAACCAAAAAACTAAAATCAGATTAAATAAAAAAACCCTAAAAGACCTAGCAAAGTGCAGATGACACATTATTTCAGTTTCTTTGGCTTCACTTCCTTCGTTCCTCGGCTTCTCCAGACTCCAATTCTCCTCTTGATTTTTTTAAACAATTTTTTCTTCATAATCCTTCCACATCCTAATATCCACGACAAGATCATCACGCTATTATCTTTAGACAAGACTCCAGAGCTTTTCCATCTTGGTGAGTTTAATTTTTGCCTTTTCTTGATTTTTGT